CTTTGAAATGAACAAATATTTTTTTTAGTGCAATTTGAATATGAATTTTCTCATTCCACACTCAATTCATATTTAAAATATAATTCAACTTTAATTCAATCCAATTATTCTCAATATTGTCAATATAATTAAATAATATTAACTAATCATTTTTACACATCACATCAACTTTAATTTATTATTCATTCACTCGCAGAATTCTAACTAATCATCATTTCATATCATTTCTCTCATACTTTTATATAAAATGAACTTTATTTATTTTATTTTAAATATTATTTTAATATAAAATCAAAAATCTCACTAATGACTAAACATAGCACAATTTTTAAAATTAGCCACAAAAAAAAAAAAAAACCATTTTGAGTGGAGATATTTCATATACAAACACAAATGTCTTGTTGGTCAGAATAGTCTATAGTCAGAGCTTCCAAACTTCCTGGGATATTGATCTTGCTGAGCAATCCTTTAGTCCTGAAGAAGCCCGACACATTCTTAACATCCCTCTTGATAAAATTGGTCATATTCTTCTAATATGTGGAAATGAATGGTAAATTCTCAGTTAAGTTTGCCTACTCTACAATCCACAAAGCTAAAATCAGCTCTTTACAACAGTCAAATATAGCAGAAATGAGCTCATTGAGAAGGAAAAAAAGGTTTTTTTTGGTTCTTTATCTGCAGACCGTTTTTAATTTAGTACCGTAAATGGACCGCTTTTGGAAATAGTCCCTTAAGTGAAAAAAAAAATAGTTTTTTGGTCCTCCGACCGCCTACAGCAGGTCAGATTTACCGGCTTCCTACGTAGAAATTCGCTCGATTTTTTTTTTTTTTTTTTTNNNNTTTTTTTTGCTGAGTTGTATGCTTAGGTGGCGATTATGTGGCATAATCGTAAAAAAATATGCTAAGGAAAGGATTTGAACCCAAGTCCAATGGGGAGTAAAAGAGCTCATGGACCACTTGAGCTAGCACACTTTTTGTTAAATATTTAACTTCAATTATATATCTACCAACATAGTTTTATCTAATTTATATTATTCAATTTGTACTACTTTTATA